GGAATTGTTCAGTTATTTCCTAGATTTCTATTGTCTTTTCTAGGGAAAACGGAATAATTCCGATCGGAATCCATTCCGAACAAGTCCATAATACGTGCCCAGTTCCATAGAAGAAGAAACTCCATTGCTACAGTTTAAAAAATTCCGCCAAATTCAATAAGTTACCCGCATTCATCTTGAAATTTCAGGGTGGAAAATTTTCCTCCTGAGGTGCACCCGGGTGAAGTTTCCGAACAACTTCATCTTTGTCACACTGGTACAACCCGAACGTTTTCGAACAGCGTGAGCCTCGGCTACGGCCTCGGCGGGTGCACCCGGGTAAAGTTTTCGAACGTAGCCTTAGAATCGAAAGAGAATTTGTTTCGATTTAAGGAAACACTTTTGCCGGAATATTCTGGTCGAGTGCGAGCTCGCGCGCGGAGGCCCGAGGTTTTATTCCCAGCGAACTTCGGAATTTTCTCGAATCCTCCGGACCCCCGGTAACGAGCCGAAAAATCCGCTGAGCCAATCAGCTGTCGACATCCCGTGAAATCCGTAATTTGACGAATGTCAACAGCTCAGCTGATCTCGAGGTCGGCAATCGATCAGCTGTTTTGGTATACCGCCCGCTCGCTTTGCCCCGAGTGTTTGCCTCGCCTACCGAGGCCCCGAGACAAAGGAGCGAGTCGGTATAGGCAAAAACTTTAGCTCTATTTTTCTGCCCTTCTCGTGTTCCGGGAAATATATGATTATTTCTGCGAACGGATCTATTCTTAGTTTTATAACTTTGAATTTAGACAACTTTAAATTGAAAGGCTGAATTTAACAAAAATTATTTAGAAGATAATTTTAATTCGCTGTATTATTCGCTGGATTAATTAAACGGCACCGGTTTTAGGTTCGATCGCAAACACTATTTAAAAAAATATATATATATTTTTTTAGAATAAATCATGGTATTCTTGGATTATGATTTTGTTTTGGTTCCGTTGATTTTATTCAACTTTTACATTTATTTGCGTAAAATACTCTGTACTTTATTAAGAATAATACTATTAGTACAGGTACAATTTTCGGGATAATATGGGGGTTCTATCGAGACAGTATCTTCTATCAATAAAATACCATCCTCCTCTTTAACTGGAAATCGATTGTCCAATAATAATTGCATAACAATATTCTTTCTTTTAGTAACCATCACATGTGAAAGATTTGCAGGTGATAATGAAAACAATTCCGGCACAAGCATTTCGACTTCCGATGTTACTTCGACATTTTTTATCGCATGACTGAATATTATTTTAAGACGATATTGTGTAGACGTTTTGGACTGTAGAACCACAATGCTGCAAAATAATATATCGTTATTTGCATTTAAATAATTAAAATTGACAATCTCAAATATAAAAAGTCATTAAATAGAACTTAAATAATGTAAGAAATATATAATACAACCTATTGCTTGTAATAGTAGAATAAATGTATTATTGTTCATAAAAAACAGCATATCAAGAAAGAGTTGAATTACACAAGTTCATTGAAAAAGCATTACAATATCTCATGCCAATAATATGTGTTTCCTGTCAAAATCTCTGACTTGAATATCCTAGCCAAATCTATCGAGAGCAGATTTTGAAAGTATCTGCTATAAATATTGTCAATAGAATTTTATCAGTAGAAATGTAACAGAATCCACTAACAGAATATATCAGATTGACTGCAAACTGAACAAAATCTGTCATTTTGCAATCATATAATTTAAATAATATATTTCATTTACATGTTTACGAAATGACATTCTGTTCGGTTTTTGCCAACAATTCGCTGTCAGATTATATCGGTTTTGCCGGCAAAAGAACGAGTTTAATGTGGACACAGATGATATCAAATCTGTTGTAACATGTGAGCAAATATACTGCCAATCTATTGTCATATTGCAGGCAATTTGCTTATTGAGTACAGCTCTCTTGCACGTCTACATGACATCTTTAATAACAATTGACCAAGTATGACGAACAAGCTTTAACGATCCGCTTTATTTAGAACAGAATAAGAAGGGAAGGGAGAAGAATACAAGAAACGTTGCAAGTTCCATTTATCCTAGAAAAATCCTAGAAAGGCGTAACTCGAGTCCTTCTTAGTATTTTTTTTATAAACAATAATGTATCTATAATAAAATCTGTAAAACTTCTCCAAAATATAAATTTTTTAAAAACTAATACCTTTTTTAAAGTATAAGTTAATCATGAATATAAATAAAGATTCGAGAAGATACAATTTTATATAAATGTAAAGAAAAATAAAGCGCATATTTTTTTATATAAACAAAGAGTTTTCATAAAAAGATGTGTTTACATAAAAGCACATATGTACATCACACATTCAGTTTCATAATAAAATCCAGATTTCAAAGATTATGCTTTTCAGGCAAATAAAATATAAAAAAGAGAATTGTCCTAACAGACGTAAATACGTTCCATTTTTATCATAAAAAGTAAAATTAAGTTTAGAATTAAAAATCTGTGATATCTTAGAATTTTATTACATGTATTATAGATTACTAATAAAATAATTTCAATAGCTTTTCTAACCTTTCTGATACCGGATCAACCGTGTAAACAACACCAAAGTGAATATTTTCGTCCTTCATCATTATCTTAATTTTCTTTCCAACGTAACTCTCGAATAAGATTGGATCGTTTTTGAATACTTGATGTGAAAAATTTAAATGTTTTTGCATACTCATATTCACAGAGGTCTTCTTGTTCAAATTATGGCACCTGCTTCTTTTCCGATCAATACGAGAGTGCAGTATTCTTTAAAGTAATAGCCATAGACATAGTATATCTAGACTAGAGTCCTAAATAATAATGGCGTTTTCGATTTGCTACTCGACCCGACTTGGGTCGCATCAATGACCCACAAGCTCCCAGCCAGCGACCTCTACAGTAATGAAATTTACGATACATGAAAAAAATCTGCTTAATTTGCTCCTTCATAATATGCATGTTTCATAATTTGCTCCATTTTACTTTTTTTATAAATAAATGATAAAGTTAGTAACAATGTAAACGTTAATATAAGCGAAAATCATTAGAATTTGTAGATTCGCAAGGTACAGAAAAATTGCTCCCTTTTCGTTTGAATTTGCTCCACCTTTACAAACTAATTATCTACAGTATTTATTAAGAAAAACGTAAATAATTGCTTTATGCAGTTCGGAGGTTATCAAGAAATTGTGCGCAAGCGCAGTACTTAGCGCCTGCGCAACAGAAATCGAACGCGCCATTTTTTAAATTATTCATTTTTCTTTAATTTGCTTTATACAGTTTGCAAGATATCAATCATTAGAATTTGTACATTCTCAAGGCACAAACAAATTGCTCCATTCTTGTTTCAATTTGCTCCACCTTTAAAAACTAATTATCTACAGTATTTATCTAGAAAAAAATAAAAATTATCGTTTTATGCATTTTGCAGGATATCAATCATTGGAATTTGTACATTCTCAAGGCACAGACAATTTGCTCCATTCTTGTTTCAATTTGCTCCACCTTTAAAAACTAATTATCTACAGTATTTATTAAGAAAAACGTAAATAATTGCTTTATGCAGTTTGGAGGTTATCAAGCAATTGTGCGCATGCGCAAAAGTATTTAGCGACTGCGCAACAGAAATCGAGAGCGCCATTTTAAAAATTGTCATTTTTCTTTAATTTGCTTTATGCATTTTGCGGGATATCAATCATTAGAATTTGCTCTATTGTTTATAACTATATCTCAAAGAGTTTAGTCAATATTTTCTATTGATTTTTGCTAGAATAACTGATTCTCGCTTGCTCTATTGGGATATTCAATTGCTCCATTCGTATAATTAATTTTTAATGATATTTTAGCAAAAAACCACTTATTTCTTTGGAATAACATATTTCCTATAGTTCTCTGCAAGTATATCCAACATAAAACGATTGCTCCTTAATTGCTCCATCATTACTTTAATGATTTATTGCATTTTTATTAAAAAATTAACAAACTGAATGCTGAAGCACAGACTTTTGCATAACGCATATAGGTATCAACCAATCATAATTCTATATTTTTATTCTGATGTTAAGGCTATTGCACGTAACAAAGTTTTAGTCATAATCGTAAGGCCGTAAGAAAATAGACCAATCACAGTCGATTATTTTTCGAGCTGGAGGACACAAGGCGTTAGGGTGTCTCCCCATGCAGGACGGAATCTCGGAATCATTCTGATTGGTTAGTCTCATGAGGCTAACCAATCTGAATGATTCCGAGATTCCGTTTTCCGAAATTTCGTCCTGCATGGGGAGGCACCCTAAGGCCGGTCATTCATAGTCGGTTCTTATATTTAAGACCGTCTTAAGTACAATCTTAAGATGTCATTAACTAATCACAAAGCCGTATTAGCATCTTAAGACATTACTTAAGACGGTCTTAAAATAAGAACCGACTATGAATACCGGCCTAAAGGCCATTGCACGTAACAAAGTTTTAGTCATAATCGTAAGGCCGTAAGAAAATAGACCAATCACAGTTGTTTATTCTCCTTGAGCTCGAAGAATAATCGAGTGTGATTGGTCTATTTTCTTACGGCCTTACGATTATGACTAAAACTTTGTTACGTGCAATGGCCTTAAGTCCGTATCTACAATGGGTACAATGGGTGTAGTAAAGCGGGGAGCACACACTTCTGCACAACGCATAATGCGTAAGCATAAGAAAATTGATTAGTTCATACAAATGTGCATAAGGAAATAGACCAATCAGTTTTCTCATGCTTACGTATTATGCGTTATGCAAAAGTCTGTGTTCCCCGCTTAAGCCTCAAGCCGTAAGCAATTAACCAATTACAGACGAATGTGAGGAGAATAATCGACTGTGATTGGTCAATTTCTTACATCTTGAGGCTTACTACAGCTATTAGTAGATACGGACTGTGGGTTTTCAGTAGTTTAGTAATTTCCTAAAAATTACTAAGTAATCTCTAGAAAAGTTTAATAATTTCTAGGGAAGTTTAGTAATTTCCTAGGAATTTTCTAAGAAATTACTAAACTGCTGCTTGCTGCTGCAGCATTTCACTGCCCATAAAATTTCACCTTTAGACTTTAGGTTTGTTCGCGTCGCATACTCCAATATACACCAGAGAGCACTTGGATCACGAGTAAAGGTTGCGATTGGAGCAGATGAGTTTTTGGAGTGCGTTGGAGTGAGACTGAGTAGGAGCATGGGCATATGGCTTCTGCCTTCTGCTTATGGTTCCTGCAATTTTATGTGCTTCCACCTTTATTATTCTCCTCAAATTCGTCTGTGATGTTGATCAATTCTTGCGACTCACGACTTTGCGACTCGCATTGTAGCCCCAGCATTAAAGCCAAATCTACAATGTGTTCTTTGCTTCCTGTTTTCTGCTCTTAACCTCTTTTTGCGACTATACAATATCTCGTATTTCGCAATTCCGTTGCGTAACATGATGTTTCTTATAATTTAATTAATTGTCTCTTCTGAAATTCGTCAATTAACATATCGCGTTACGCGACGGAATTGCGAAATACGAGATAGTCGCAAAGAGATTAAGAGCAGAAAACAGGAAGCAAAGAATACATTGTAGATCAGGCTTAAAAGGAGAGGAAACGAGCGACTGCTCACGATTGCTAGGCTAGCGGAGTATCGGCTGAACGCAGCCGGTGTTTCACTATTTTTTTCTCTAGTGCCAGCAAATTGAAAGATAGTCGTCAACTTTAACAAAAAAAAACTTTAACGATTAATATCTCGCTTCGCGCGGCAGAGCGACGATTTTTTTCTACCAAATTCTTTCGTTTTGTGCAAAAACGCGTGATTGAGTATAATTTTATCGATATTGGAGGTGAGTGGGCTAAACTGTATAATTACCAAATGTTTTTAGTTTGCATATCTTTACTTAACTATTTATTTAACGAAACAAATTTCATTCCATTCCTTTTAAGAATAAAGACTTAGAAGGCGAAAATCCTTACTGGTTATTGTGATACAATAATGATTAATCATTAAAAATATAGTTTTTTAGATTAGGTTAGGTCAAATCAAAAGTCCATCATGTTTGTGTCATTAGAAAATACGTTCAATGTCTTTGCATACAAAGAATAAGATTTCAAAAATAAAGTTTGTCGCTTGACATTATAAATATTATCTGTGAAAGTTGTTAAATGTTAAAAATGCTGTTTATCAGGATTACAAAATCTGTTGTATTGATGGCATGGCATAATAGACAAATAGCATTCAAATAATTAATAATTTAAAGACTTTATTTTACATGGCAACTTAGTAAGCAAACTGCCTGCGGTATGACAGCAGATTGACAGCAGATTTTCTCAGATATTACAACAAATTCGGCATTATCTGTGTTTGTATTAAACACTTGTGTTTTGCCGATAGAGCCTGCCAATGTTGTAATCTAACAGCAGATTAGTAGAAATCGAACAGAATCTGTCATATCTATCTTAACATTTAAATGAAATACATCATTTAAATGATTACGAAACGGCAGATTTTGCCTAGTTTTGGCAGTTAATTTACCATTATATTCTATTAGCAGATTCTGTTATATTTCTACTAGCCGTCCGGCCAACATTTAACAGCTACTATTGACGTAATTTGTAGCAGACACTTTTAAAATTTGTTCTCGACAAATTTGATTGTCCAAGAAGTAAAATGCAATAATAATTTGGATGGATCTCACTTTTCATGGAAAATTACGAATCCATCTAAGACTATATATGCTTAATTAAATTTTTATCAATTAATTTTGATTTAACAATTTAATGTAAAAACATCACTTTTAATGATTAATTATTTTACTTACAAGTAACAGTTTATTTTTTTGCAATTTTACTTTTTTTTAGTATAAAGGGAATTGAATATGTGTATTTTTATTGAAATCTAAATAAAAATTAATAAGTATTTATCAAACACAGAACCAAAGATGACATATGTCGAACGATTTAAATAATAAATTAATGTAAATAAAGAAGAAATCGCAGAATGGTGATATACGGCGTTTATATTGTATCCAAGTCTGGTGGCTTGATCTTCAACCATGATCATAACGTACCGAAGATTGAAGTTGAAAAATCCTTTAATTTTCCACTCAATATTAAATTAAATTATGAGAACAAGAAAGTAGTGGTAGCGTTTGGGCAAAAAGATGGAATACATGGTAAGAATGTCTATTGTGATGAGAAATAATTGGAATTATATAGATTGAAAGAAAAGTAATGGCTTTAAACTTTGCATTATTATTCTACATATTTAAATAGTGAATTTATTTAAGCAGTTAATTATAATATATATTTATTAAGCAGATGCAATATAGAATTTCAAGGATAGTGCATATCTATTTTAATGACATTCTCAAATATTTCTTCTATCACAAAAGTAAAATTTAATGTCTGTTATTTTTATATTTACATTATATTATCAAGAATAACAGATACATTCAAGTTGAAGATAAACTAATAATTATTAGTAACAAGTAAAAAAGTATTATGTAATAATTATTGTGTATTATATGCAGGATGTGTGTGAAATTGTATACAAACGAGAACGAGGTGATTTTGCATGTCAAAATAAGTCAAAATTATATAACAATTTTTTTCACAATTTTTTTATGTTTATGTTTATGGACATCGGCAATCTCGTGATTCGTTTCCTATCAGTCCTATTACCTTGCTTAGCTATCAGTTTCTACAAAGTTTTTACGATGATAAGATACAGCAATCGAGAGTACTAAAATGATTTGCTTTAGGAACCTATGGCAGTATCTACGTATCTACTGCAATTCGCTACTACAGACAACGTTATTCAAATTGATACCCTGATAGACGAATGACATAAAGAGTGGCGCAAATGCTCGTTGAAAGTGGCTCATTTATTTCCTCCACACTTGGCAGGAACTGATAGCTAATCAAGATAAGAACTGACAGAAAACAAATCATGACCGATGTTTACAAACATATAAACGTGAACAGAAATAACAGTTTATAGCAAGATCCCGGATCCGTTAATCAAGACATAATCAAGTGTACTTAATAGTGCATGTGTACTTAATAGATTTTCAAAATCGTTTCAAAAACAAAAATCTTGTACAAAAAAATTCTATAATTTTTGCACGCGATGCCGGCCTTATTTTGGCACGAGAAATCACCTTGTTCTTGCTTGTACTACGATTTCACACTCTATATACACAATAATAATAATAATTGTTATTATATAAATAATCAATACGATTTAAAAGCAATGATATTAAAAATCGGGTAATATTAAGCCAAATTTTGGCATTATTTTTCTTTCATATATTACAAGAATACATCACTACGTATATTTTAATAAGGTACTAAAAGACAGGAATAAATAAGAGAACCAAATATTTTTTAGTGGGACACATATTGACAGCTGTGAATGGAAATGCAATCACAGGACGTGAACTTGAAGATGGGAGAGACATCTTGGAGATGTTGGAGCAACCGGAAAATTTCCCTATAACATTGAAGTTCAGTCGGGCAAAAATGACGACGAATGAGAAGATATTTTTAGCTTCAATGTTCTACCCTCTTTTTGCGATAGCAAGCCAACTCAGTCCGGAACCACGATGTTCTGGAATTGAGATTCTCGAAGCGGACACATTTCGTTTATATTGCTTCCAGACATTGACGGGCATTAAGTTCATGATAGTAGCGGAGCCATCGCAGCCAGGCATGGAAATTTTGTTGAAGAGAGTGTACGACTTATATGCGGATTATGCGCTAAAAAATCCATTTTATGCGCTAGAAATGCCAATTAGATGCGAATTATTTGAAACTAATTTACAGACATTGCTGGAAACCGTAGAAAAATCTGGAATAACCAATGTTTAGCCTGTATTGCTTTACATGTGAGTTGTTAATAAATTTATAATAATTAAGAACATATAAAAGAGAGTAACATTTTTTTAAATTTTCCTTTTTACTTGTTTTGCTATGTAAAGTTTAATTCTATCAAATAATTAGACTTCAAGCTTGTTTATACGATTGAATTTCTATATCTGATTGTATCTTTTGAGAGGTTGATTGAGAGTATTGAATTATATGATAATCAAAGAAATGTAATAGCTCTCTGGTAATAGTAACAAAATTTAATTATATGATAATATTTGAACATTAGTGCTAACAATAAGAGAAAAATATCAAATAAAATTTAAGTAATCTAAATGAGAATATATGCAATTTGAAGCAAGCAACAAATCACATGTATGTTCAATAGTGTTCAAAGTATAATTTTTAAAGAATAAATAGCAATATTAGAGTATGGATCTTTATTTAGATCTTCATCCAAATAGGTTGACTATTCTTTCTTTTCTATTTAATATTCTTTTCTAGTGAAATTATTTGTTACTTTTCTTTTACCTTATAATGTTGGATAATAAGTACCTGACTACGATTCCCGAGTCGTTGACGCTCTCATACTTCGGCATATATTTATTAATATTCTGTACACTAATATAATTTACGAAGAATATAGCACATAACTAGCATCCACAATTCATTATACTAATATTGCATATAATTCGGGATCGCTGTAATGTACATTGTTATTCAATTGCATTTTTTACTCCAAAGTAGTAGGCGAACCTCCTTAAACATTTCCTACCAACTAAGTAAATAGTTTCTGGGTTTTTTCTAACACGTTTGATCTAACATTCAATCCTATTGTTTTACGGAGAGTATCTCTAAAATCATATGTTTACGACAACTCGTGAGATTTAAGTTTGTAATAATAATGGATATATTATTTCGTGTCCTATTGATGATATACTTCGCAAATATTTATTTAATTTGTTAAAAATATCTATCGATATTTATATCTTATTTATATCAATATTTTTCTAATATCTTTATCTTTAAAAAGTCTTATAAACGCGATTTTGAAGATTTTATGGTACTACATTCCATTGGTGTTTTAAATCAGGCTCTGAAATCTGCAAGATAAAGAAAAAGTATTTTAATATACATGAGGATAAAAGGTTGGAGAATTGAATTAAGAATTTAATATTTTAATACCTTCATTGTTAAATTGTCTATGCAGGAATTACGTATACGTGCAGCAGTCGCAGGGGCATCAAGACGAAAGTGACCATGAATATTCGCATCCTTACGTGCAGCCTTGATTGCTTCTTTGATCGCAAAGAATGCAGATGATGCCAGAAATAACGGTGGCTCCCCAACAGCCTATATTATATTATATCTTAATATAAGTTTAATAAGTTTTACTATAGTTCCATTGCTACTCTATTCCTTTTCTTTGAACTGCACGTTAATATATGTAAATATATGTAAATATATGTAAACATATGTAAATATATGTAAAATATGTAAAAAAAAAACAAGACATACATATATATATATATATATTTATTATACACACACACACACCACACACACACACACACACACACACACACACGCACGCGCGCGCACACACACACACAGGGTGTTCGACCAAGATCTTTCTCTATCCTTTCGGCTGGATACGGCTTTTATTTCGAACACCCTGTATATATATTTATTTTTTTAATTACACAAAAAAAGTTATACCTTAGAAGAGTATACCGCTCTTGGATTAGAAACCCCTTTTAATAAGGATACATTAAATTCCTGAGGTATGTCGGTAAAGCCTGGCAATTTGTACGCGCCAGGTCCTCTGCTGAACAAAGTTCCCGTCGGTGAGTAAATCATTTCCTCTAACGTGAATAAACCGTATCCTTGAACGAAGGCACCTTCAACTTGTCCTATGTCGATGGCTGGATTTAAACTCTCTCCCAAATCCATGACAATATCTGTTCGTAACACCTGCATCGATTGAAGAATATTATATCAATGTTTGTTTTATGTAATCCTTATATTATTATGCATACTTTTTCTTTATAAACTAGTTACGTTCTTTATAAAATTGATGTCATTATCTTTTATGAAAAGTAATATAATACATATAATAAAAAGATATACCTCATGATCACCGGTGAGGCAATCAACCTCCACCTCCGTACAAGCAACGCCATACGTAAAATAATTAAATGGATGCCCTGTATTAGTCTCGAAGGAATATCCGATGTTGGGTGTTTGATAGAAACCGGTAGCAGATAAGCTTATCCTTTGATAATATGCTACTTTTATCCATTCTTCCCAGGTACCTTTTAGATCATTGTCAATTATCGGTTGTAATCGTTTCATAATTTCCTTGCATGCATTCTGCAAAATTTATTTCTATATTTAATTTACTTCTATTTACATATACTCAAATATTAGTTGTAAAATATTGTCACACACCATAACAGCCATGCCATTCAAATCAGATCCGCAACTTGCTGCGGTGGCAGATGTATTAGGAACTTTATCGGTAGCCGTTTCAGCGATATATATCTTAGTTGGATTCACCTTTAATATTCTGCTGGCAACCTGACATGATATGGTAAATTTAACTTGAACTCATAATAATTTACAGTTGCGCATAATCAGTTATAATGGGGGAGCCCCGATAGCACTGGATAGCACCAATATCCTATAAATATTCATATAACGTCCATGGGCATTCTGGACATAATATGGACATCCATAGGATATTATATACCAGCTCTAGAGTTCTATTTTTAGAGAAAATAGAGACTTACTTTTATCACAAATTTCCTCTTTCATCTATCTTTTCTCAGTAAAAATGACCTAGTTTACATCGATCACTTGATACGCGTATTAAATAGTAAATAACTAGTAAATAAGTCTGATTATTGGCTGATCAGTTCAAATATACTATTTGATACGCGTATCAAGAGATCGATGTAAACTAGGCCAATATCAATATTGCCCGTTATAAGTCTTCATTCATTATAATTTTTAACATAAAATAACTTTATAATTTTTTAAAATTTATTTAAAATTATAAAAGAATTATTAGACTTTTATTATGCATCTACGTGTTTGAATTTTTGGAATTTAATTTTCTAGAAGCATTCCATTCTTGATCGCTAATAATTGGTTATTAATTTTCCATAATAATTCCTCGGATAGTCAAATCTGTCGAGAACAGATTTTAAAAGTGTCTGCTACAAATTTGTGTTGATAGAATGTCAGCAGACATATAACAAATCTGCTAATGAGCAAAATCTGCTATTGTGTAATCATTGGCTGCGTTCAGCGGAAAAAGCAGCTCCATAGTGAGCGCTCAGTGATTCGGGTGTAGTTCCGAATGACCCCTGCTCCCGATCGACTTAAAATTTTACAGATAACTTGTTTTTGATGTGAAAAATGAATTGCGCGTGGTCCCAACTCCCAACTTCGGTAAATAATTTTTTTTTTTAATAATAGCATTTATCGACTAAAATCGATTCTATATATGGATATACGTTGTGCCAATTCCTTTTAGTGACACAAGTCGACACAAACATCGTTCTATCCTTCTTGGCATTCAATGAATAACAAAGACAGAACGACACTTGTGTCGACTTGTGTCACTAAAAGAAATTGGCCTGTTATTGGCAAGTTTCTTTTAGCTGCACTGACTGAGCTGGGCTGAACTGGTGCAATAAGTTGGAGTGAGACAAGTATATTAAATTTCACTCCGACTTACTGCACTGTGTACCAGTTCAGCCAGTGCAGCTAAAAGAAACAGACCCACTGTAAAAGTGATAAATTTGATAATTATACATAATTACCGGTTATTATGCATAATTTTCAACATACGGTGATAAATGTGATAAATTATAGCAAATTTATCAATTTTACCGGTAATAACCAAGACTTTTTGGTAAAAGTAATAAATATTTTATTAATTTTGTTGTGGGGAATTGGGTGGAAAAGTGTAATCTATTGTATTCACGCATATATTTTTTCATCCACACAACAATTAGGTGGGTTAGGTTAGGTTAGTTTTTTTTAGGTGGAGCCCAGGGGGGCGGAACCTACTGCCTCCATGCATACACTTTCCACGCGAAACAAAGGACCACATGGGTTTACAATTTTCCACGCGTGGAAAGTTCACGCATGTACTTACAAGGTACACTATGTGTCTAGTTTAAGTGGAGCTCCCCACAGGGGGGCGGAACCTATACTGCCTCCACGCATACACTTTTCACGCGAAACAAGGTGCCACATGGGTTTACAACTTTCCACGCGTGGAAAGTTCAAGCATGTACATATACATACTTTACAAGGCACACTATAGCTGCGTTCGCTTTGGACGTTTTCGTGCTGACAGCATCATTCCATCTTTTTTCAACATGTAATGAGCAATAAAGATAGACTGACGCTTTTAGCACGAAAGCGCCCAAAGCGAACGCAGCCTATTATGTGTCTAGTTTAATGTTAGTGGAGCCCCCCGCAGAGGGGCGGAACCTACTGCCTTCACGCATACACATTAAACCTTCATAGGGGGAGGGGAGTCGATAAATGCTATTATTTAAAAAAAAAAATTATTTCCCGAAGTTATTGGGACCATGCACGCGCAATTCATTTTTCACATCGAAAACAACTTATCTGTAAAATTTTAAGTCGATCGGGAGCAGGGGTCATTCGTTGGTTCTTGCCTTTGGTTTTTCCTCGGATCTAAGTGTAGAAACCAACCGTAATAAAGAATCACTGAGGCCGGTATTCATAGTCGGTTCTTATATTTAAGACCATCTTAAGTACAATCTTAAGATGTCACTAACCAATCACAGAGCCGTATTAGCATCTTAAGATATTACTTAAGACGATCTTGAAATAAGATCTGATTATGAATATCGGCCTGAGTGCTCACTAAGGGCCGCTTCGACCAAGCTCCGATTAACTCATTGATTAGTCAGTCCATTGGAAATGACCATTCGCATTTGCTCGTGAAGTAGATTGACAAATGCGATTGGTCATTTCTAATGGACTAATCAAAGTGAATCGGAGCTTGGTCGAAGTGGCCCTAAAAGCTGCTGCTTTTCCGCTGAACACAGCCATTCAATTGATGTATTTCATTTAAATGTTTATGAAATGGTAGATTCTGTTCTGTTTTTGCCGACAATTTGCTGTCAGATCGGCAAAAACGAATTTAATGTAGACACAAATGATACAGGATCTGTTGCGATATCTGGAGCAAATCTACTGCTACTCTGTTGTCATATCACGGACAGTTTGCTTACTGGGTTTTTAAGAAAAAATTAATTTTTTTTGAATTGGTCAGAACATTCAGGTATATACAAAAGACGCTATATAATATATTACGTAAAACGAATTACAAATAAATATTATTTATACTTGAATCATTTTTGTGTGTAGACCTTGTCCCATCTCAACACCACTATGGCTGATTAGCACCGAGCCATCAGTATAGATGTGAACCAGCGCGCCTGCTTGATTCAAGTGCAATGCAGTAAACGCTATTCCGAACTTCGTAGGTACAATTGCAAGTCCTTTTTTCTTGAATCGATTTTCTCTGCAAAATTTGTCATCGATCTTAGTAATTGTTAATAATTTAATTTATAATGTAGACGATAATTACTTGCCTATTATAACGTTGAACCTCAACTATTCTTTCATTATAACGAGACGACGCTAGACATTCACGCCAGCAACGATCTAAAGTACAATTGACAAGCTGCTGGTTGTAATGTGTTAAATCACCTTCTTTATATAAATTTAATTCGGACAACTGTAGTGGAAAAATAATATTTTCAATTATTAAATTTATTTCCGTCCGCTTGTAATGTATAAATCAGATATAGACGTAGAATTTTATGTAATGCATTTTGTAAAATAGAAGATTTTTTTCCATTATATTTCATTGTGTAATAGCTTTTATTAATCAAAAATTACCTTGACGACATCCAGATCTAGATAATCGGCAATTTGCCGAATGATATTTTCAGCTACAAACATTCCTTGCGGTCCACCGAAGCCTCGGAAAGCCGTATTTGATGGTAAATTCGTTTTACACATGTATCCATATATCTCCGACACGGGAATTCTATATGAATTTTCAAAATGGAACATGGCGCGTTCTAATACCTGAAAATATTAGAAATAAAATCCACAATTTTTCTATGCGCGTGTGTACATATAACGTTACAAGATTTTTAATAAGGAAAAATAATTTTTTAAATCTATTTTCTTCTTATTACTTACTGATGTTGATAAATCGCGAGAGTAACCTGCGTTACTATATATATGTACTCTTGCCACTTTGATAAAACCGTCATTATTAAATCCAACTTTGTACTTGAATAAAAACGGATGTCGCGTTCCACTTATCATCATATCTTCGTCTCTATCCAGCATACAACGAACTGGTTTCTGTAATCTACACATTTAATTTTTTTATTTGATAGATAATAATCTACATTTTTAATTATATTTAAATAAATTATATAAATAAACATAAACTTCTCACAAAAATTAAAAAAACACTTAATTTTTCTTAAAAAATAGGCAAAATTCAAGCAGCTGTAACTTTGTTAAAAATAAACGAAATTTAAGTTAAAAAAAAGAATTTTAAAGTTTAAAATCTCTGCTTTCAAAAGGTCACTATTATTTTTTAGTTTCTGCGGGTTTGATCATTTTTATAGAAAACTACGAGCTGGACAAAATGGGAAATTTTCTTTTCTTTTGTGGGCCTGTCACGTGTCCAAAAAAAGTCTGCGAAAATTTTACGATTTTCTAATGCGAAAACTTGAAGTTTTCCCTACACAATCGTTTTTTAAAAATGGTTCTACGATTTTTTGTCACTGAGTTATCGTGAATTGAATAAGAAATGAGAATTTTGACTTTGATTACTCATAACTTCGTCAAAAATCATCGTACCACAAGTCAAAAAACAGATTCTTAAAGTTGAAGTTTGCTCTATCGAATGGTAATTGCCAATTTTTTTTTTAAATAACATGTATACATGATGCAAATGGATTAAAATAATGTAAAAATTAGCCATTTTTCCCTTTTTTATTTTGACCCAGAAAACAATTGTGTAGAACAACAACAAAAATTTATTTTTTACTTTTTTTGTATTTTTAAGTACCCTGTATTGAAAAAAATTTGCCAAATAGCTATGAGACTTTTTTCATTTTTGTAAACGTATTTTTTATGTATGCTTACGTATTTTGAGTCGTAGAGTCTAAAAATCATAAAAATTACGTTTGTAGCGGGAAAAATGTAGAAAATTGAAGAAAATGAAAAAAAACGAGAAATTGTTTAAATCTTCAGACGTAATTTTTTTACATTTTCGTATGTATTTTGAGTCCTCCCAGATAGCTTGATTCGAGATTCATGACTCAAAATACATAAGAATACGTAAGATTTATTTGTTCCCTTCCTAACAGTATTTATTTGTTCTCTTCTAAAACCTCAATTTTTACAGACCCCCCTTAAGCAGGTTGGTTGGCGTCCCACTGTGGGGCAGGCGGCGCGGCAGGGGAAAAACCTATAAGTTAATTAGCTTTCGTCGCGTGAAATAAACGAGTTTTAGCAAATAAATATGTAGAATGCATTCAATTAGCTGTTTCTTAATGTTTTAAATCCTTGTTTGTACAATTGAAACCCATATATGTTATTATCTATGTTGAAATGTGGCAATAATAAATGTGCAGGTCCTGTTTTATTTTTACAAATTCTTGATAACTATGTAGACAAATCATTTCAGCATTCAAAAAAGTCCTTCCTAAATATGTAAAGAACTATTTGCATCTATTTTCATTAAATTCTTATCATTTTTAATATGCTTTTGAGAATTACATTACAGGTGTCGTAACATTTTTGTCATATGTTATCCGTGTATAAGACGGGTTCTACAATCAGTTATATGTCGGATGTTGGAACGCAGCCGATGGTCCAATGAGAGAATTTCTTTTTTAAAAACGAATTTCTCTCATTGGACCATCGGCTGCGTTCCGACATCCGTCTCTGACTGATTGTAGAAGAGAGAGACAAGAGTATAACTTCAATAATTAATTATTCGACAACCATGCAGACAATTGTCTTCAACTTTGGCAGATTTCCGTAGACGAATAGCCTCCATAAATTTGAACTAATTCTTATCATATTGATTTGAGCAACCAACTCCCTTAAGCAATTTCACAATTTTCTGTATGTTTTTCCCTATAAAACTATAGTGTCCACCATGAAAAAAATCTCATAACTATTCCGCAATTTTTTTTTAATGCAGAGTATACTTAAAACTTTTAAGTTAAAAGTACAAAAAAAAACGTAAAGAATAAATTTGTGTTGTTCTACACAATTTCTGGGTTAAAATAAAAAAGGGAAAAAATCGCTAATTTTTACATTATTTTCATCCATTTGCATCATGTCTACATGTTATTTAAAAAAATTGGCAATTACCATTCGATAAAGCAAAGTTTCAGCTTTAAGAATCCGTTTTTTGAATTGCGATACGATGATTTTTAACGGAGTTATAAGCAATCAAAGTCAAAATGCTTATTTCTTATTCAATTTGCAATAACTCAGTAACAAAAAATCGCAGAAACATTTTTAAAAAATGCTTGTGTAGAGAAAATTCCAAGCTTTCACATTAGAAAATCGTAAATTATTGCAGACTTTTTTTGGGCACGTGACAGGCCCACAAAATGAAAAGAAAATCCCATTTTGTCCAGCTCGTAGTTTTCTATAAAAATTGTCAAACCCACAGAAACTAAAAAATAATAGTGACCTTTTGAAAGTAGAGATTTTAAACTTTAAAATCCTTTTTAAACTTAAATTTCGTTTATTTTTAACAAAGTTACAGCTGCTTGAATTTTGCCTATTTTTTAAGAAAAATTAAGTGTTTCTCTTTTGTGAGAAGTTTATAAATTGATCGTATACTTTATTATATACGAAGTTAACGCAAATTTGACTCAGAGGAACAAATAATATAAAATTTAAATTTAAATGACTGGATAAATTTAAATCACCTTTCAAACACTGTAATTTTTGTAGATATAAATATTTTTGTTAAAGTTTTATTAAGGCATAGTTGTGTAACTATGGATGTCATTTTCCGTTTTTAATGTGTTTAAAACTTCCAAATGTAATTTTTCAAAAAATATTTACTCAAAGAGCTTGTTGTAAAAAGAATTAAAGGACCTTTGAAATAACATGTTACTTCATTTCTATTGTCATTTAAAATTTTCGAAGGAATAACTATCCCAAAGAAGAGGATAAATCAATAAAAGGCACAAAATAAACAGAATGAAAGTTTTTCATTGGCCCACTCTGTATATATCGTGCAAATATGTTTCAATCAATATAAATTTCTACAACACACCTGTGTGCCGCAAGTGCCACTGGTATCGCGAGTAATGCTGCACGGGATTCCTTCCCACCAAAACCACCCCCTATACGCTTCACACGAACGTTAACTCTATTTGAGTGTATATCTAAGACATGGGCAATTAGTTTCTGTATTTCACTAGGATGCTGCGTGGAACAGAATACTTCCAGCTCGTTTTCCTCATATGGCACGACAATAGTAGCGTTTGTCTCCAAATAAAAATGTTCTTGACCACTTATACGTACTTCCCCTTCTAAAACATGCTGCGCTTCCGCAAAAGCTTTATCCGCATCACCTTTGATAATATGCTTGGGGAAACCAGGAAAGAACGATTTATGCGCGATAGCGTCCTAGAAGAAATTTAAGTTAGTGCATTTTTGTTTATATTATTTAATTAAAAAATAAGAAAGAATTATTAGTATAATTTTGGAGTAAAATTATGAAAAAGTGGATCGAACTCCACTCGCCTTGACCTAAACACATATTATCGAGATAATAATTATATAATTAACTTTTAAAAGATTTTAGCTGCTATTCATTGATTATTAAAAACTTGTTAATACACAAAATGTATACAAGGTGAATGAATATGGGATCTGCACTTCCGTTCTACACAAACCTCCTAATTTAATCTGATCTAATTACAATTTGAAAAAGAATTTGTTTCTAATGTATTTATTTTATTATCCACGTCCATCAAAATAGTATTGTGCAAAGCAATATTGTTTTAATCTATTTTTGCTATAAAAGTATAACGACATTAGACGTTGTGCCAACTGCCAACTAACAATAATTTATACACATCATAAAATTTATTTATCTTATCATACTTAATAGAACAGTAAAATATGGGAGACCGGGGCAAACTTAACACTAGGCTTTTTGCCAATTTAAATCTATCGTAAAAACTTGCCTTTCCTACTGTAAATGCGTCTTTATGTGTTACTATTATCAACGGTATTTGGTGACATTCTGAGTCATGGTGTAATTTTTAGCGGAACATAACCGTTTTGATGGTGAAAAGTAATTTTTCTTATCTCTCGAAAATTTCTACTCTTTCATCGAGCTTTACTCTTGCGAATCTACCGGTAAGTGATTTTGATGGGAAATTCGATGCTTTATACGAATCCGATAATAGAGTTTTTGCATATTTTCAAAATTTTTATATTTTTGGAGTAACAAAAGTGAAAAACGACGTTCGGTCAAAGTCGACACCACGCCGTTTTATCGGCTCCCAATAACAAACGATGCTTATCATGCAGCTATATGGCCCATGACAAATGCGTGTGCACGTCTAATCGCGAATTTACTTGCATAAATTGTTTTTCAGACATGAGTTTACGTGAAAATAATTAAATGTTCAACAATTTTTGTTCTCATTATTTCCAATGATTGTTTTACTTGATTCCGAATTTTTGTACTTTCTAAATACACAATAAACAATGTATGTTTTTTAGTTTCAAACAAAAAAAAATTAGTTCCAGATCAAATTGTGTCGATCAAACAAAGTGTCGAGTTTGCCCCGGCATTTTTCAATTTGAAAATTTGTCTTCGCGCCATTTTTGGTTTTTTATGGGCAAAACTAAGCAACGTACAGCAAAATTTTCTTAAGCAATTTTGTACTTGAAGGAACACTCTTTAAATGTGTACCATTAAATTTGTTTGAAAATTTTAATTAATTGTTAAAAATTGTCTTTGAAAAAATTGTGTCGAGTTTGCCCCGGTCTCCCCTATTTAATGCAAAAAACCGAGTATTATACGTGAAAAATTGTGTTTAACATGATATTTAATTCTTTTATTATTATGTTTATTAGAATAACAGAATATTTTGTTCAAAAAACCAGAAACCCTTCCAATAAGAAAGTTATTTCTTAAAAATAAAATGATTCCAAATGGGTTTCCTACTTTCCACGAAGTGAGGTACATCCCACACCGTCCAGGCGTCACCTCTGCGAAACAAGATCTTTCGTTATACGGTTCCAAATCGGTTTTCAACTTCACGCGAAGTCCATAATCGTATAATAATAGATTTCGTTTCGCACTGTAAGCTTTGCAGGGCAGTATGAAGTGGACCTTGCTTCACGTGGATAATTAGTAACCCATGTGGAGCCGTATAATAATAATAGACCTTATTTTGACTTGCAAGCACCGGATGGATGTGGAGTAGACTTTGCTTAACGTGAAAAATTCAAAAATCCATGGAATTATTTTATGTTAAGAATTTGCTGTACTTTAAAGTAGAAAAAAGTGTGCAAATTAGAAATGGAGAAGCTTGTATTTTATTTGATGCATAATTATTAGTATTTATTAGTTTGGCTTCCTCATAGAGAAAGCTTTATGAGCGAAATAAAATAGGAGCAATTGTAGCGATCTGTAATGATGAGGAAGCAATGTGTAAGTTTCTAATTTGCACATTTTTTTTAATTTTAAATTTAACTTTTTTATGAATTGGAAGACGGTCAGCTTAATAGCACAAATGGGGTTTTACAATCGACGCAATGTCAAATTGATATTGACTTTGGGAGTTCAGACTGCATGGTCCATATATGGACTTCAACGATTTTAACTTTCAGATTCGGATGTAGCACGCCAAAATACACAATATTGTTAAATTTTAGCTAAATCGGTGAGAAGGCCACTATTCTTCAGATTTACCTAGGAAAAGACTGAAGAATATATAGACTTATTTAATTTCAGCTATACAAAGCTATGAAATGGACTTGGTTTAAAATATAACTTAAACACACTCATACTAACTTTTTTAACTTAACGCGTAACACTGTTAATTTCTTATTCCGTACTTTTTAATTTCTTCTATAAAAACCATCCCTTAAACCCAACACGCCTAAACCTATTATTTGCACGCTAAACTCACAACCTAAACTCAGAAATACTTGACTTAGTCCGCTTCGGCAGTATCAAGCCAAGAAACGGACATTATACACACACACATACCTTCTTACCGCAACACGGAACAACTAATATTCCCTATATTTCTTTTATTTCTAAATTCTTCCCAAATCACCTTTAGACTCATATCTCGCTTTGTTTCTAAAATAACCTTCCTTACATCCTAAAACTTATAAAACTTGAATTCTAAATCAATGCATATTCTCTATATACTTTATAATCCAAAACCTAATTTTCTCTTTTTCTTTATCCCTTTATCCCTTTCTTTATCCCTACCTTTACCTTAATATTACAACTATTTCCTGTTTTTCAACCACATCTTAATATATTAATAATTCTTTACCTTTACCTTCAAATATTAACGCAACTCTCTCATCTTACAATACATATATTAAACTTGACTAATAACAAATCTCTTGCTACCTAACTAATGTTATCCTATGTCCCCAGGCCTTCCAAACTCATCACACCTCCCTATATGCCCTTACCTCCTTTTTTTTTCTTCCAATATATTATCTTCCTAATCTTTCTGATCTTTTAAATTCATTCCTAGTTTAACTCGAATCACTTCTGTGCCCTCGGATCGCTCCATTCCTCTTACTTATTTGCCAAAATGCTCGACACTGCTTCTCATTCGCTCCTAGTAAATTACCTCCCAGCTCTTCTTCTCTCGTTCCCACCGAAGTAACATATATTTCCTCCTCGCACGTTCGTTCTCTAGTTATCTTCCCATGCCTCCTATCTACCGTTGCATAATTAATATTATACCTGGATTCGCCTCCGTGCCATCCAAAGATTCTAATATTTCCAGAAAACTGCTGCGTCCTTTAAACTGTAACATTCATATCCTCTTATTTTTTCTCCTTCCGCATTTCCTTCTTCTTCTTCCTTTCCTTATCTCACCAAGCCTTGCGTGTCCTCTTAACTCCTTTCCCTACTTCCACCTTCTTTTACCTTTCCTTTCCTACAACGCAGACAAGTTTCGCCAATCCTTGTTCCAGGAATACGCCAATAGCTTTCTTATACTTTTCTTCTTTTCTTCTTTTCATCTCATCTCTTCTTCATCGTTGGCTTAACCTTTCCTCAGCTATGCTTATCTTCTTTTACTTTCCATTTCCTAGAACACCTCTAGGCCCGCCCAGCCTTGTGTCCTAGCTTTATTTCACCTTTCTTCTTTCCATCTCCATTGACCCGGAACTCGAGAGATTTTCGACTGCTTTTTCTTCTTCCTTCTTCGATAATCCTCTTCACATTTAATCCTCCCTTGTTTCGTATAGCCTCTTTTATAACAGCGCTTCTTTCACCTACCTCTTGTCCTCTCCTTTGTTTTCTATCTTTTACCTCTTTTTCCTCTTCTTATTCTTGATTTTATATTTCCTAGTCTAAAATTTGTCCCAATCTAAGATTTACATGTGTTCTGAGTTCAACCTGTCATCTTTTCAACTATCTTCTTAACCTATACTTAATTTACGGCCGAAGGCTCATCCTTATAGCTAATCATTTACCATACAATCTTCTTTACAATCATCGATCAAAACCTTCCCTACTTTACCTACATACCTTTCCCGCCTATACCGCCTATCTGACTTGTCACCATAACCTCATCCTACCGCGGTCTCTAAATACTTTTATATAACTATTAATACTTTTATATAATACTTTTATATAACTTTTCTCTACTTGCGTCCTACTGTCTCCCTTCATTCTCATCGCATCCCCTGCTTACACCCTATATCTTTCCATTATCCCTACTTGCCCCATACCACCGACGAGATACTATTAAAGACCGACAACCCTGGGTAAATTTTCGTGACTGCCCGGGGGCCCGATGGTAATTGAAGAATACTGACATTATCGACTGTTTTGGCTATTCGACTATTCCGAAAGAAGGAGTTTTACCACCGGAAATAAGTTGGCGCTGCAAGTTCATATTTTTTAATGAACTATAGCTCAAACGATTGCTCCCTAATTGCTCCCTCAGAATCGACAATTGCTCCCCTTTTAAAATTATTATTTTTTGAGATATTTAATAAAAACCAAAAATTTCTAATTTTTATTGAAAAACATATTTATAATAACTCTATGCAACTTTATACGGCATAGAACGATTGCTCCTTCATTGCTCCTTATTGCTCCATCATAATTTTAATGATTTATTGCATTTTTATTGAAAAAATAACAAATTAATCATTTCACAAGTAACGCCGCCGCCGCCACTATCGGCCGCCTATTGTAACTATGGCTCGGCAGCCATTGGCGGAAATATTTAAACGTAATACAATAGCTTTATTGTTCATAACTATATCTCAAAGAGTTTAGTCAACATTTCCTATTGATTTTCGGTAGAATAAAGGTGGAAGCACATAAAATTGCAGGAGACATAAGCAGAATGCAGAAGCCATATGCGCATGCGCTATGATATCTGTTAGAGCTTTACGGA